TATTTAAATTTCTTTCTTTTTCCTGAGGAGACTGGTGAGGCTCCGCCTCCCTTGCCTCTAGTGACTGCACGTCCCTGAATTGGCTAAAGGAAAGGGGGGGTGGAATAGTAAAGCAAAAAAGAAAAGAAAAATCAAGAAATTAAAAAATAACTACAAAACCGAAAATGAATAAAAGGTAGAATTATGAAATAGACTGTAGCAAATAAATAATAGGAAGGATATAAAACAAGTCAAATGTACATAAAGGTTGTTATAAATAGAATGGAGAAAAAAGACGTATGAAATAATAGAAATATATACTGTATATACATATACGTAGTTATAGTTGTGTAAGATTTACACTTACAGATAAAAGAATCACAAGATATATGTAAAAGAAGTGTAATGTGTTGCAAAGATGTTATGTTTGCATAAACAAAATAAAAAGTTAAAAACAAAAGGAAACATGTTTTTATTAACTGCAACTGGCAGAAAATGTCAGCTAGGCAAGGATAATCATATTGATTTTTTTAAAAGAACAAACATATTTAAAAACTTTCCTTTTGAAAGGTTCTCACCTTTCTCTCCACCCTCTAGTTCGGGAGGGGGGGGGCGGAGGAGGCACCTGACCCATCACTCACCTTCGCTCTGATTGTAGCGATACCTCAGAGTCTCCAGGTTTTCTCTGAACGGCTCCTCTTGGTCACGTGCCATCTGGGTCTGACTGTCCCAGTACTGGGGGTCGTCCTTCCCCAACCTCTCCATCCAGGAGGCTCGAGGCTGCTCCCTGCAGCTGTGGCTGTCGTAGTAACTGAAGAGCTGATTGTCCACGTACCCCAGAGAGACAAAATGGGGCTGCCCCTGACTGGGCTCCGAGATGGCGGTGGAGAAATACTTCAGGGAGTGGGAGGAGGCGCCTGGAAGGGAGCCAAAGGCAGAATTAGGGGACTTCTGCTGGGGGCCCTTTTCCGGTCTGGAAGGAAGAAGGAAGAGGAAGAGAGGGCAGGTGGAGGAGGGAGGAGGAAAGGAAGGGGGAGATGATGGAAGAGGGGGGGAAAAGCAGAGTGGAAAGTGGAGCGACCGAGAGACAAAGGAGCCTCTTCTGGAGGGCCTGAAGGGTTGCGGGGCAGAGAGGTTGCGGGGGAGAGAGAGAGGAAGGGAAGGGAAAGTAGGGCCAAAGAGAGAGCAGCCTCACCAAACTTTATGTGCTCCCCTCCAATTGTGTCCTCCCCTCTTCCAGCAAGCCCTCCCTCAACCCCCCCTCTTCTGCATTGCTCAGTCTCTCCCCAAGGAGGCTGCAGTGGCCCCACAGGAAGAAAGCGGGCTCCATCCCCAGAAGCTCCAAAGCAGCAGAAACCCCTGGTCTCCCCAGGTTTCCAGTCCCAGAAAAAAAAAATCTTTTTCACTTCACTGGGTGCCAGCATGGATTATTTATTTTTCTCTGAAAAGTTTTTTTAATTTTTGTTCTCTATATACAATTATAGGTATACATTCACATCACTATTATCCCTTTTTAAATTCCTCGTTCTTATATATCTGTCATTCCATTTACAGGGTTATAACATACTGATGGGCTGGCTGCTAAAGGAAGGTCCATGGCACACACTTGAAAGGAAATCAGGAAGACTGTAATTGGGGGGGGGGGGTGTCTGTCTGGCAAGAACAAAGGAGGCTTATCAACAGGAAATATCCCTGTGTAAAGCCTGTAGCAATTATGGGTAGTTAGAAAGTTGATAAAAGTAACAAGGATTAGACAACTTGCAGACCTCAGCCAAAAGCTAGCAATGGAGATGGCCTGCAGCAAATGAAATGTCTATTAGAGCAGTGGTCTCCAACCTTGGCAACTTTAAGACCTGTGGACTTCAACTCCCAGAGTTCCTCAGCCAGCTTTGCTTTGCTGGCTGAGGAACTCTGGGAGTTGAAGTCCACAGGTCTTAAAATTGCCAAGGTTGGAGACCACTGTATTAGAGAACTCCTGGAGTATTCATTAGCCAAGGCTTAGGAATGGGACAGTTATAGACCAATAGAACAAATTGTGGAATTATTGCTAAAATGTTTATTAGAGGATATTTCTTATTATCTCACCTTGTCCCCCCTTCTCCTTTAGTGAAAATGTATAAAGCTTTCTTAAGCCTTGGTTCTTGGTTCTTGGCCTTTTGACCAGGAACCCTTTTCCTTGGAGTTCTCCAATAAAAAGCGATCAGAAAACCTGCACCTCATGTCTGGCGTCCATCATTGGCTTTGGCACCAGGCTCTGACCCAAATTGGGGACAACAATCTCATTTGGGTTGCTTTATTTATCATCCATCCCTCACGTATTTTGAAACCACCTTCTTTTCCCTTTCTTTTCTCCCTCCCTCGTCTACTTTCTTCCTTCCTCTCTCCTTTCCCTTCCTTCTTCCCTTACGTCTCCCCTACTCCTCTCTTCCTCTTCCCCTTTCTACCCTCTCTCCTCCTCCTTCCATCTTCCTTTCCTCACCTCTAGCTTCCTTCCTTTCCCTCCTCTTCCTCTCATTTCCTCTCCTCCTCTTTTCCTTTCTTTTTCTATTGTCATAGGTGTCTCTTCCAGCTCTTAATTTTTCTTTTCTTGGAGTGGTACTTCCGCAGACTCAAAAATAGTTGAATATCCTTTCTTGTTCCCTTTCCTTCTCAAATCTATCTTGATTATGTTTCCCCCCTTTCTATCTTACTTTTGAATATATACTTATATATTATTTTCTTCTGTATTTCCCCCTCTCTTCCCCGCCTTTTCTACTTAATGGCATATTGTCTGGGTTCCATAGCTTCCCCTTACTTTCTTTTCTGTATGTCTTTCTCCAACCATTCATAAAACCTTCCCCATGTCTTGAAGTACATTGATTCTTCTTTATCCTTTATTTTCAAAGTCAATCTGTTCGTCTCTACGCAGCCTAGAATTTTCTCTTCTGTTGGTACCTTATTTAATTTCCAATTTTGAGCAAACCATGTTCTTATTTTAGTCCAATACTTCCTTGCTTCTGCACATGTCCACCACATACGATAGTAGGAACCTGTTGCTTGTTGACACTTTCACTTGATTTATCTTTAAACATCTTAACTAGTTTTTCCCATTGTCATGTGTCATCTATAAAACATTGTATACAAGTTTTATTTATAGCCTGTTGACATGGTAGGTTTATAGTTTCTTTCCCATAGTTGCTGCCATTTTTCTAGCTCAATCGTGTAACCAAAATTCTTTGACCAGTTTAACATAGTGTCCTTGACCACTTTTTCTTCTAGTCTAATTCTTAATAAATAACTATACAATTTCTTAATTATTTTTCTTCTGTTCCCATCAGTATCTTATCCAGCTCTGTGCTTCCCAACTAAAACCACATTCCCTCTTATCTTTTTCATACCTTTTTTGTTTTTCTGTTATGTTTTTCACCAGGATTTTATAAAAGGGAGGAGGGAGAGGGGGAATCTGGGTAAGACCAGAGGCCATGGGATCCTTGGAGGAAAGCCAAACTGTTTGCCTGGGAGTTGTGGGGAATCAAAGAGGGAGCAAAGGGAGTGATATTGAAGGCATGCAGCCCCCCTGGATCTTTTTCTTCAGCCTCCTCCACCTGGAAAATCCCCCCTCCCCTCCAAGAGTTCAGCCATCTGAGCAGGAATCGGCCTTGAACCCAGGACTCCGAGGGGCTCCCCCTCCTTCCACAGAGAATCTCACAGGGATTATCCCAAGATTCCTTAATCTCAGCAACCCAGTTAGGGCCCCCGAAACCATAATTCTCAGGTGCTAGAGAGGCCCCAGATTTATTCTGAATCTCAAGCACTTTCTTCACTTTCCCTGAAACTTGACCTCACTAAATTACAAAAAAGGTTTTGGGACGTTGGAAAAAGTGTAAAGAAGGGCAACTGAAATGAGTAAAGGCATGGAGACTAAAACAGACGAAGAACGGTTGCAGGATTTGGGTTTGGCCAGTCTAGAGAAAAGGAGGATTACATGATAGCAGCATTCCGGTATTTGAGGGGCTGCCACAAAGAGGAGGGGGGACAATTTATTTCCCAAAGCACCAGAAGGCAGGACAAGGAACATCGGACAGAAACTGATCAAGGGCAGAAGTAACCTGGAATGAAGGAGAAACTTCCTAGCAGTGAGGACCATTAACCAGTGGAACAGCTGGACAGTCACTTGTCTGAAACGGTACAGGACAGCGCTGTCAAACCTGCGACTCACGGCCTGGATGTGACAGCGCTAGCCACGCCCGCCCCGGTTTAGCAAAGGGGAGAAAAGTTGCTCCATCACTGGAGCTATTCAAAATGGACCGGAGAGCCGTTTGACTGGGACGATATAAGGCAGGGGTGATTCTAACCTTTTCGGCACCGAGTGCCAAAAGAGTATGCATGCGCCCCCATAATGTAATAAATGGGCGACACCCCTGCACATGCCACCTCTGTGCATGTGCAAACATCTACTGCCCATGCACCCTGTCTCACCCGCATGCATGTGTGTCCTCCGCATGTGCACCCCCCACATGCACGGCAGAACCCCAAAAAAGCTGGCCGGTGGGGGGTTCACGCGCATGCACGGCAGACCTGAGCTTGGGCAACAGTTCACGTGCCCGCACAGAGGGTTCTACTTCTGGGGTATAAGGTCTCTCCTTCTTTGAGCCAAGAGTTAGACTAGAAGACCTCCAAGGTCCCTTTGAACGATTCTAGGTTCCAGATCAGAGACCCCAAATGATCTTCACTCTGGATGAAAACCCTCCAAGGCTCTTGTGGCAGCTTCAATCTGGAGACCTATCTTATTGGGGGGGGGGGGGGAATGTCAGCTTACCAAATATATGACATTAATTCCTTACTTCCTGTTATTCTCCTGTGATGACAGAATTATTTATATATTCCTCATATTTTTACAGCCGCCCATCTATAAAATGACTGTCCCAGGTTCAGGAATGAAAATCATAACACACCTGAGTTAAATGTTGTTTCCAGCAAAGAGAATAAAGCCAGCCCAACCTCTTGTATAGGCTGCAGCCAACTGTCACTCATTAGAACATTTACTCTATTGCTAGGCAATGGCCAATAGGATCTCATTCCTGCTGTCCTTTTTCACAGGTAAATTTTAATTTCTTTTCTTTTTCTTTGCCCAACTTATTTGTCAACCATTTTCCCAGCAGAGTTGGAAAGCTAAAATTTCTTTTTTTCTTTTATTCATAATTCATCTTTATTTCCATTTCACTTACTGATAATACACACACTATTTATTAGTCAACTAATTATCTATTATCATAAATAATTGCCTCTGTGGAAGTTTAATTTGGTGAGTAATAGTTGTTCTGTTCGGGAATTTTTAAACCGTTTCTTTTTTTAAAAAATCTCATCCAAAACCATTTGTGTTTTCTTCTTGCCTTTTCTCTTTAAATTTACTTTTACCTTAAACTATCCCCTTATAAAACTTTGGATGCATCCCAAACTCTTCTTACACTTAATCCTGGAAAGGATTAGATGGCTAACCGTTATATTGGCACGTACCAAACGCATGTGCCTGCCCACACCTGTAAGGCAATGCGCACGCAAAATCTCGTATGTGCCCCACCCCACCCCCGTACGCATAACTTCCTATGCCCCACTCCCATCCCCTGCAATCCACGCGTGACCACCCACCACCCCGCAGTCTGTTTTTGGCCTAGCAGGCCTTCCTAAAGCCTCCTGGGACCAAAAACGGGTATGCGTGGCAGAGATTTGAAAACCAGCTGGCCGGCAGGAGGCAGGCGCAATGGAGCTGAGCAGGGCAACGGCTCCTCTGCCCACATGCCATAGATTCCCCATCATGGAATTGGAGCATGTAATTGACAAGCTTAGCCCTGCTTGTATCTTAAAATGTGTATTCTCAGCAACTGAGTAGAATAGAGTAGAGTATAGAATAGAATAATGGAATGTAGAATTAGATTAGATTAGAATAGAATAATGGAATGTAGAATTAGATTAGATTAGAATAGAATAATGGAATGTAGAATTAGATTAGATTAGAATAGAATAATATTGCGTCTCTTACTTGAGAAGGGGGCTGGACTAGAAGACCTCCAAGGTCCCTTCCAACAACTCTATTCTATTCTGATTCTAGTCCCCCTCCAGAGATGCTTCTCTTCCTCTGCCTCCAACCCAGCCTATTTAATCAACAAGATCCTGCCAACAAGATCCTGCCAGAGTTTTTGAAAAGCTGCTGCATTGATATTTTCCCTGAGCAAACAACCAGGAACAGCCCAAGGATGCTTCCTGATTACTAAGGAATAACAATACATTTTAAATATAAGTACCGGTAGTCCTCGACTTAAAGCAGTTCATTTAGTGACCATTCAGTTAGAATGAGCTCTGAAAAAAGTGACTTATGACCATTTTTCACAGCATCCTCATGATCTCTTGATCAAAATTCAGATATTCAGCAACTGGTTCATATTTACGACGGTTGGTGTGTCCCAGGGACACGTGATCCCCTTTTGTGACCTTCTGGCAAGCAAAGTCCATGGGGAAGCCAGATTCACTTAACAACGGAGCAAGAAAGGTTGTAAAATGGGGCAAAGCTCAGTTAAGACAAATGTCTCACCTAACAACCGAATTTTTGGGTTCAGGCATGGACGTAAGTCGAGGACCACCTGTATTTTTAATTTTGCAAATTTGTCTCTAACTGGGGGGCTTCTGAAATGGAAGAAGGAATATCTGAGGAGGCAAATCTCTGCCTGTCCCAGAAAAAACAGCTTTGTGGTTGTTGGGCTTTAGGATGGGATACAGGGGAGAAAATGAAAATCAAAGAAAAAGGGATCTTTAGGAAGATTATTTATTCCAAGGAGTTTTTCTCGCTAGACTCCGACCCTGCAGCATTCACACCGCAACCTGAACCCAATTTCTCCATTGCAACAACCTCTCAGTTGGCCTATAACACACAAGCCTTCTGAGAAATGGGCCGGGTCCTCCCAGTAGCCAGAAAAAAACTACGAACCCCCCCCCCCCCAAATAAGACGCAGCAGGCGGAGGGGGTTGAGCAAAGGCAGCCAGGAAGTGAGTGAACTGACCTGATCCTCTGAAAACGCTGCTTTCCAGCAACCTCCACTTTGGGGGAGGGAAAGAACTGGGCTTGGGGTCGCCCAGGTAGACTGGACTGTCCTCTGGAGGGGCGACCCTTGTCCTGTTCCCAGAGGGGCTGGGGGGGGGGAGGGGAGTGGCAGCAGCCGAGTACAGGCAGCCTTTAAGGCGTGTTCCGAAAGCATCCAGAGCGGACTAGAAAGACAACCGAACCAAGAATCCTTTTTTCAGAATAATCTGTTTGGGGAGTTGGGGGGGGGGAGAAAGAGAGAGATTTCCTACTAGCAGAAAAAGGGGGAGAAACCCCCGATGCCCCCAAAAGGACTCACCGAAGCAGCTCTCCCGGAGGGCCACCAACACTAACACCAAGAGCAAGAGGGGCGCAGAACGAAGAGCCATCCTGGCCGCGATCTTCAACCTGCCCCACGCTTTCCGGAAATCGCAGACAAAAAAACAACCACCTGCCCCGTTGATCTACAGAGCAACAATCCAGAGCAGGCTGGCGATTGGCCAAGGTCAACATTAAGTGTGGGGGAAGCGTATTTAGTTGTCGTCATAATTGTTTGGCAGACGTCCAGGCTGAACGGGTGGGAGGGGAGGAAAGCGAAAGTTCATTCTGAAAACCCTCCCAGGGATTCCGTCTCTTGGAGGGGAAGGGGAAGAACTGCGGGGCTGGGGAAAACGAGAGGATTATTTGGGGCTGGGGAAAGGAGGGGTGCGGTAAAGGGACCGTGAGAACAATTAATCCATGGAATCGCTTCTTTCCTGGAGTTGTAAGTGCTCCATCACTGGAGATGTTCAGAAACGGACCGGACAATCATTTGATCTGGATAGTACATAAAGATCCCTCCTTCCTTGAACCGAGAGTTAGACTAGAAGACCTCCAAGGTCCCTTTGAATGATTCTATCTTCTAGGACAGAAGCTCCAAATGATCTTCACTCTGGATGAAAACGCTCAAAGGCTCTTGTGGCAGCTTCAAGATGAAGGCGTGTCTTTTTTTGGGGGGGGGGGGGACATCAACTTACCAAATGCAAGACATTAATTCTCTAATTCCTATTATTCTCCTGCAAAGACAGAACTATTGATTGATTGATTGGTTGATTGATACCTCATATCTACACAGCCACCTGTCTCTAAAACGTGACTCTGTGTCATAAAATAAAAAACCAGTATGTAAAATAAATAAAAAAACATGAAAAACATTATGCAAGAAGGAAGGAAGGCTATGATCAGCAATGCAGCCCCATTGCTTGAGATCCCAAAGCCTATCCACACAAGTCTATTTTAAGAGGCTTTAAGAGAAGGATATCCAAGATAGCTACCACAGCAGAAAAAGCCCATACTTCGTCTTTAAGAGCTGATGGGGTGGACAGATATCAAATAGGACTTTGGAGGTCTTCTAGTCCAACCCCTGCTCAAGCAGGAGACCCTATACCATTTCAGACAAGTGATAGTCCAATCTCTTTTTTTAAGAGCTTTTTTATTTTTAAACAAACATANTTATTTTTCTGCAGTCTGTAAATACATCAACCAAGTTCAATTGTTACTTTTCCTGAATAGTTCTTACTCTATTTTTACTCTTTTCTGAGTCTGGATGTACCCATAATGGCACATATGATTAAATCTTTTTTTCCTACTGATAACCCCAAAATGAAAGGCAATTGAAATGGAAGTAATGATGAAATTGGACCCATAGTTTTAACATACTTTGTCTTATTATGAGTTTGACAATCTGGATTCCACACCTTCATACACCTTTCTAAGGGCAGAATTGTGATAGTGATAGGAGAGATTCGATACACACATGATTTGCCTCTGCGTTCATGCACAGTTGTCTATAAATAGGTCAGCACATGCGTAGAAGATTAAAAATGCCCAAAACCTTGAGCAATTTCAACCAAACTTGGTACAACGATGATTTACTCTCTGGAAACAAATACTGTGGGGGTAAGACACCCCTAAAATCCCTCGGTGTGTGTGTTCTGTTATGATACAGCATGTTGTGCTTTAAAATGGCTTCTACTGTACTGCTGTAAAATGGCTTCTACTGTGCAGCACAGTGGAGTTGACATGGTAACAGATTCACAGTACTCCATAAGGGGGCTCCTTGGGAAATCCAACATTAAAAATTACATTTGGTCTGGACATTTCCCCCCTATAAATAAATACATGGGCAATGCCAGATTATCAGCTTGTTATAAATAAGAAGACCGAGGTTTGTTTGTTTTTTTAAATGAAAAATAATAAAAATGAAGGAATGGGAAAGAGACAAATCTAAACATTTGCCATGACCAGTGTATTGAATAGAATATCAAATTAAAAATAACAAATTCAATATTTCTAGGTATAAAATAGAAAAAAAATGTCTAATTGATAGAGTAGATTAAAACTTAAGGTTCTTATGAGAAAAAGTTGCCATGCTTAAATGCAGAAGCAGATGGAATTAAACTTTCATAAATCAAAGTGTACTTCGCTAACCTACAGAATTGAGGTGGGCTAGTTTTTTCTTGAAAAAAAAGATGTCCTGATTTCCTTGAGCTTTTTCCTGAAAGTCACAGTACATCGAAACATGATGTACACACCACACGTGCATTTTAAGAGTTGAAAACCACTGAAATAATCAAGTTACTGTCCCAGCTATTACCAATATTATTAAAGTTTGTGGGTGGCTGCCTGAAATGTGGAGTGTTCCTTGTTCATGTCTTAAGATACAATTTGCTTCAAAGGTAGAATGAATGTTCTTTGGCAAACAATGCTTCATCTAATAATCAGGGCATATATTATATGCAAGGAAATATACTTCTGTGTTAGAGAACAAAAGACCATTGAATCAATAAAGGCAGGTGCATTTGTGCAGCAAAATCCCAAGGAGAAATAAACTTCCTTTCCTTTTCTTCTTCTTTTTGTTGTTTTTGCATAGATTATGATGATTTAATTTAAAGTGTTTGCAATGAAATAGAGGGTGTTCCATATTAGATGGCCTAAACAGCCTTCTAATAGATTATTCTTTAACAGCTTATCTGAGGTGTCTTGTTAAGCACTTGGAAAAGCCAATGCTGATTCAAAACGGATTTGCCAGTGGCTTTACAGATAGAAGGTACTAGTTTATAGCAAAGAGATAGTAAAAGTTTATTTTTAAAAAAGAATTTCTCTTTTAGTAATGATAGAAAACAGATCCTACATAGAGCTTCACTTTCTTCTTCAGATGGAGAAATATTTAAAGTTTTGGCATTTGTACAATGAGATCATCAAACTCATTTCATCATGTGCTCCAGTCCTGGTGCTGTGGTGGCACAGTGGAAGAGTGCAGTACTACAGGCTACATCTGCTGACTGCTGATTGTCTGCAATTTGGCAGTTCAAATCTAACCAGGCTCAAGGTTGACTTCCATCCTTCCGAGGTGGGTAAAATGAGGACCCAGATCATTGGGGGCAATATGCTGACTCTGCAAACTGCTTAGAGAGGCCTGTAAAACTCTGTGAAGCAGTATATAAGTCTAAGTACTATTGCCATTGTTATGAGAAGAAGTGATGAGCTAGTCAATGTTTGGTGGATAACTGGTATCAGGCTATCTGTACATCGGTGATGCTGTAGACAATAGCTATGAAACAGTAAATAAAGCCTAACATGAAACTTGAACTTTGTTCCACATTTCATTATTGTCTGAAACAAGTTGGGAATTTTCATTCCCAGTCTTGAAAAGCAAAATAGAAATAATTGATTTATGTATTTGAACAACTTGGCATACCATCTACTATGGACATCTTTCAGTGGTTTATAGTATTGACAGTAAAAATCATTAATATACTGTGGAGTCTGTTGGGGAGGAGGCATCAAAAGTGGGAAGATGGCAGATGAAGTGTCAATGCAACCCCTGTCCTTTATGAATGGCATCTATTCCAATCCAGTAGACTTTCTACATGAGCGCCACGTGGTTTGGCGCCTTAGGGATAGTGAATGGCGCTCTGCCCAGCTGGAGAGGGGGTTTGCTGAGTGGCTGCTTGTGAGCGTGGTCACCTCATGACTGCTTCACCACTGAAGCTGTGCCCGTCTCTTCGGGAGCCCGCTCACAAGGGAGCAGCCGCCCAGCAACTCCCCCCTCCGGCCAGGCAGAATGCCACTCCCAACCTAGCAGTATCCCGAAGGCACCAAGCAACGTGAGCACCTTTCTCTCAAGCTCCCGTGGCTTGGCGCCTTTGGGATACTGCTTGGTGGGCGAGTGGTGCTCTGCCTGGCTGG